CATACTTAAGAGATCAATGACTTCCCTTCTTCTCTTTTCAGGGTTCATTTTACATATCTTATAACCCTGCACATTTTATGAAAACTATACCAATCGGTTTTCCATTATTACATCCATCAAAACTTATTTACACTCTCAAAGAATTATGGGCCTTGTAGTTTGTTAAGGGTTCCTGGGAACTATAACTCTGTGAGGGGCAAACTGCAGCAACCAGAATTCTTTGAGAGGGGAAAAGGCGCTTTGAATGTGGTTTAAAGGTGCATACTCCATCTCAGACCTTTTTCCAGGTATGTGCAAGTTCTTCCTTTAAGTGCAGCCATACGGCTCTTCAGCATAGCTGCTAAGACCCCCTTAGATTTATTTGCTGAATTTATGCTCCCACAGAACGCAAGGCAGCATAGACAGAGTTCCCAGGCCAGTGTTCCATCCAGGCTCTGAGGGCTACTTGGCGTCAGCGAGGTTGCTGCCTCACGGGCTATATGCCCGTTTAGGATCTTGCCAGGAACTCCTAAGATACGTTAGCCCAGCATTCATCAACAATTCAGTTCAGAGCTATTTCTACAGTGTGCCACACCACCCAAGACTCCATTTGTGATGCAGGCCATTGGAATAGGAGACTCTTGCTAACTTTCTGAATTGGGGAATATCAAGAGGCCACAACTGCTGCAGAGGGATGAAAGGTGGTAGGAGTGTAGTAAATCCAAAGAAGGTTTGGATAGAAGAAACAAGTCTCTTACAGACACAATAAGTTCAGCAACTCTTGTGTAAATACTTACATGTGCCCAGCTTAGCTAAAGATGTTATTTTAAACCAATTTAGCTAAGCTGTTGCAATAGCCAACATAGATACTCTTAACTCCATCTGGTGTGTATTGATTTACTTTACTTCAATAAGAAATTGAGCTAAGTATAGTCATGGGCACTTAAAACTGTTAGCAGGGGAATGTTGACAGCCAAATGAGATTAGGTTCTGCCTGCTAAGGAACTTTAGGAGCAGTTGGTAAGGAGATCAAGGCATCCAGTCCAAATGGAGTCTTTCACAGCCTAGAGATGAGCAGAAATCTTGTTGCAAGGCAGATGGGTGCAGGACAATTGGCCAACTTTTAAGTCTTGGCCTAACTAAGAACCAGGCATGGAGTTATAGGCTCAGTTCTAAGCTCTAAGCCAAATTAGGGCTTAGTGAGAATGTGTGGACTCCTGAAGAGACTGTGACTGCTTTGTTCCTCCTCTGGCCCTGCTGCCGGGATCCATGGCTCATCTTAAGTGTGTTGCTTGAATTCAGGTTTGTCTCTTCCAGAGATACCATTAGCAGAAAGCCATTGAACAATGATTGGCTGTGCAGCTCATGGTTTGTGCAGAGCGAGGCAAACCATAAACCAGGATTTGGACAATGCATTGGATGGGATGGAAACACTCTCCTGTCACCGGTATCACTGCCACTTACCTGGACTGGATGCTGGTGACACTGTGGTCTAAACCACTGAGCCTTTTGGGCTTGCCGATCAGAAGGTCGGCGGTTCGAATCCCCGTGACGGGGTGAGCTCCCGTTGCTCTGTCCCAGCTCCTGCCTACCTAGCAGTTTGAAAGCACGCCAGTGCAAGTAGATAAATAGGTACCACTGTGGCGAGGAGGTAAACGCTGCTTTTGTGCGCTCTGGCTTCCATCACGGTGATCTGTTGCACCAGAAGTGCTTTAGTCCTGCTGGCCACATGACCTGGAAAGCTGTCTGTGGACAAACGCTGGCTCCCTCAGCTTGAAAGTGAGTCCAGGGGTCCTTGACCTTTAATGTACCTACCTGGACTGGGCTGGGGCAGGGGAGCAATGAAGTTGGGGATGGATGGACACAACTGTGCAGAGGAAGCCAACTTGGGCCCCAGACCGTGGGTGCCCAGCAGCATGCACGATGTGATGTCCTGATGTGCCATCATGTCATTGCACGCTGCTTCCGTGCTTCCTCAGAGCCGGGGGGGGGGGGGATAGCAGACCATTGGTGCATGTCTGTGGCCCCAGCAGAGGCCCAACAGTGGAGGCAGAGGCCCTAGCCGGTTGCTGCCATGGCACTGGAGGTAAGGTAGTGGACGGCCGCGGGCAGAGGCCAGGCACCCACAGTGAAAATTTTGTGGTGCTCAGGCACCTAGTGTCCCCTGGAGTTGGCACCTGTGCACTGGTGGATGTGTCAGATGAGTTCTGCCAGGGCATGTACCCTGCCTTGCCCCATCCAGGTCAGCTGTGTGTGGCAGTGCTGGGCAGGCAGCAAAGGCAATAGACCCAATTATATTAAAAATACTGATATTGTCTTGCTTACCTTGAGCAAGAACCAAACAAATGAATACAGTTTTTTTTACACAATATCATGGAAAGCAATTATGGTAAAATGGCTTTGCTGGTTGAAGCACCAGTACAGAAGTGCAGAAGAATAAAACGGCTTGTTGTTACAAAGGGTATGCAATGCCCTGTTGCCTTGACCAGCCACTTCAGGAGCACAGAGAGAGCGATGTGGGGAGATTGTCTTCTATAGCAATGAAGGCAAGTGCTATCAGACCAGGCCGCATGCAGTGGAGGCCTGAACTTATTGCAAGCCTGGGGCGAAAAAGCTTCAGTGTATATGACTGAGGTTTGGACTACTGCAAAAGTTCAGAGACCTTAATACAGGGGTCAGTAAGGTTTATCTCCTGGGTCGGATGGGTCCTGCCTGGGGTTTATGGTGTCTGGGTGTGCGCTGACACGATTTTTGGCGTCTGTGCATGCACAGACGAGATTTTCGGCGCCGTGGAAGCGAGTCCAGCACTGCTTGTGGGCTGGTCAAATGACCTACGTGGGCCGCTTTTGACCCATGGGCCATAGGTTACTGACCGCTGCCTTAATACTAGGGTAATTAGAAAGGGAGGGACAGGGCAAGGTGCTTATCTGTCTCAAGGAATGGAGACACAGATTGGATGGGGTGTGTGGAAAGGGAAGACTAAATGCTCTGGTTCAACTTGGCCTACATTTTCTGGTCCTTGCACGTTTATACTGCAAGCAACACCTTAGGAAAGGTGTTTCTAAGGCGAAGGTGAATGTGTCAAAACCGTTACTTTGCTATTGCCTGGAAGTGTAAGGTTGTTAATGCTGTATTTATAGGACGGAAACATTTTGTTTTTAAATGTTATGTCTGCCATTATGTTGTTGGTTTATTATATTATTACGAAATTGTTCTAGCACAGGTTGGTTTTGAGATGTATTCCTGTTTTCTTTGATGTAAGCCGCTTTTGAGCCCGATTCTTTTTGTGGAAAAGCGGCATACAAATAAAATGATGATGATAGAAGAGTTTGGCTTTGATATCCCGCTTTATCACTACCTGAAGGAGTCTCAAAGCAGCTAACATTCTCCTTTCCCTTCCTCCCCCACAACAAACACTCTGTGAGGTGAGTGGGGCTGAGAGACTTCAAAGAAGTGTGACTGGCCCAAGGTCACCCAGCAGCTGCATGTGGAGGAGCAGGGAAGCAAACCCAGTTCACCAGATTAGGAGTCTATCGCTCTTAACCACTACACCACACTGGCCAGGCCTCCTTTCCCCTTCTTTCTTTTCAGATGAACCCGGTTCAACCGCGAACCCGGTTCCCCAGATTACGAGTCCACCACTCTGAACCACTACACCACACTGGTTCTCAAGACACTTGATAGTGTTACAAGACACTCTGGCCTCCCCTATACAGTAATGTAATCCATTGAAAACAATCCATTCTTCATTATTAAGCCTGTTTATCTTCTTCTCTCTGTCATGGACATAGGTCTACAAGAGCATCAAAAAGAAGAAACATGCGCCAGGTGAAACATGGAGATAGTTGCACCTATTTCTATGACGTGGCAGCTGGAGAAAGTGCAGTTGTGATTGCAGAAGTCTATGTGTGTTACCTAAATGTGCCATCCAGTTTGTGCCTCTTTTTGATACACATGCAGTTTGCATGGGTGAAGCAGATCATTTTCTCCATACCAATACAAAAACTCAAGCGCTGGAAAGGAGCGCAATAAAGCGTGCTCTCCTTCACGGAGAGCACGAGTTGCGGTGGGGTTAACAAGACACCTCTCTGTTGCTGGGCGGGTTAGTTTGGATGGCCACCGTTGTGACTGGGCTCCTCTGGTTGTTGGGGAGAGTTTGATGTTGCCAATTATTGATTGACAGCCTTAGGTTATATATTCCCTGCATGCAGCATTGAGCTTCTTGGTTGGTGGAGGGGCATGGATTGGCTGTGCCTGCCCCTCCAATGCTGCTGCAGCAAGGGTATTCCATTAAAGGAATCCAGGGGCTCACCATGCTTTTGTCTGCACCCCTGTCAAGGGGGATAGGGCCACGCAAGAGCCCCTGGGAGCATTTGGGGAGAGGTGAGGGTCTGGCACCCAGCTCCATTTAATCCCCAAAAATGTTTTTTCTTACTGACTTTGCAGGTTTGTGGATGGGCGGGTACAGATAGTCGCAACCAATGCCTAAGCAACCACTCATATTTTGTATTTTAATAAAGTTGTGGCCAAAATTATGCCAAAAACATTAAACAAAATTCCTGTGTGAAGTGTGAATTTATTTAAGGGTGGCTTGGGACCTCGACACGCAAAAGCACCAAGGCATATAGTTTTGGCACCAGTTAGCGTCCCCTGCTGGAGACATGAAGAACCTAGAAAAGAAGGCAGCTTTCAGATCACCCATAAGGCAGGAGGGAGGAGCAAATCTCATTTGTGTGGCAGAGACCGAAGGCTTAGTTTTTCTTTTCGGCATCCCTTGCTTTGATTTTCTTGCCTAGGCACATCAAGTCGATGTAGAGATTACGTCCCAGGACAGCAGAAGCGCAGAGAATGGCTCCGTGTAGGGCTCCTGCGAAACCAGCTAAAAGCACATCCTGGCCTAGGAGAAAACAAAGACATCACTGCCACATGTCAGTCTCTGCTCGGTCTGTCCTCTTGTTCATCACATCCCCTTGTCAACAGCCTGGAATGTACATACTTTCCGCTTGGGAGAGCATCACGGGGCTACAAAAAGGCACTTGTGTAGCCAGATGTCAGGGACTGGCTAGACGCTGACTCAGGAGAGGGCTGGGCAGTGGTTTGCAGGGACCTGTACCAGCCAGCTGGCAAGAATCAGAGGCAGAGGAAGATTCAGAACTGGAGGGTGGAACCCAGGATGGGTCAGAAGAAGAGGCAGGTCAGTCAAGTGAAGGGCCAAGGGCTTCCCCAGCCTCTCCCGAATGACTGTCCCCTAGACCATGGGTAGGCAAACTAAGGCCCGGGGGCCAGATCCAGCCAAGGTAAAGTAAAGGTAAAGGTACCCCTGCCCGTACGGGCCAGTCTTGCCAGACTCTAGGGTTGTGCGCCCATCTCACTCAAGAGGCCGGGGGCTAGCGCTGTCCGGAGACACTTCCGGGTCACGTGGCCAGCGTGACATCGCTGCTCTGGCAAGCCAGAGCCGCACACGGAAATGCCGTTTACCTTCCCGCTAGTAAGTGGTCCCTATTTATCCACTTGCACCCGGAGGTGCTTTCGAACTGCTAGGTTGGCAGGCGCTGGGACCGAGCAACGGGAGCGCACCCCGCCGTGGGGATTCGAACCGCCGACCTTGCGATCGGCAAGCCCTAGGCGCTGAGGCTTTTACCCACAGTGGCACCCGCGTCCCATAGATCCAGCCAAATCACCTTCCAAATCTGGCCCATGGGCGGTCTGGGGATCAGCGTGTTTTTACATGAGTAGAATGTGTGCTTTTATTTAAAATGCATCTCTGGGTTATTTGTGGGGCATAGGAATTCGTCCCCCCCAGTATAGTCAGGCCCCCCAAAATGTCTGAGGGACAGTGGACCGGCCCCCTGCTGAAAAGGTTTGCTGACCCCTGTCCTAGACTGGCCCCTAGAATGTTCTCCTGAATGAATGTCCCCTATTGAAAAGGAAGCAGCCGATGAAGTTTCCACACAGATGCAGTCACTGGCTGTGTGCCCACAACCCACTGGGGGAAGGTACATATACTAGTGGAGGGCAGGGGTGCCCACTTGAATAAAATATTGGGTGGGCCCAATAAAATTATATAACGGTGGAAAATTATATAACGGAGTCGATGTATCATTGGTTTGTCTTGATTTGTGCAGATATTGTAAAATTGAAAATGATAAATAATAATAATAAAGTTATCTGTGTCCACTTGTCCAACCAAACCCCAAAAGCCTCAGGAATTGGGGCAAGTGTAAGGAACTGGAAAAGAGAATGTTCAAATGCCAAGACCCACTTAGGAAACTATTCCTCCTCTGCTGGCCCACTCACTCCCCAATGCATACCCCACTAATATAGTTTTTGTGCTCCTGTGTTGTGTTCATGCCACTGAAAAAAACAGCAACACTGTTCTTTCTTGTTTTAGAATTTCACTTTTGCTGCCTTATTTTCCTCACCAATCAGCAACAAGATCCCCAAATCTTGAACACAGGCCCAGTGTGGAAAAGTTATCTATTCTATGCCCTCGAGATGAGGCAGGTTGAAAGAAATAAGAGTCATTATAACGGCCAACAGTTGCGGTACACTGGAAAAAGTGAGAAGGTAGCATTTACCTGTAAGGTAGAGGTTTGGGACAGGGGTCTGAGGTCGTACTGTTGCCATGAAGTCCGGCTGGAAGCGAGCCATACTGTGGTTCATGCCATACATCTCTCCTCGCGGAGAAGCTATGTAGTGCTTATTGGTGAGAGGAGTTCCTGCAGAGACACACGCAATCTGAACAGAGAAAGATCAAATGTCCAGGGAGCATTATTACTGCTAATTCATTTTCACCTCATCAGACAAAAAATAGAAAAGGTACTCCTCCATCTCCATTGGACTACAAGAACTATTTGCCCCGTGGAAGGAGAAGAAACCAACGCTATGTTTCTGGAAGAGTCCTAATCTACATAATAGAACCTTTAACCTTGTGGATGTTACCGGATACCAACTCTCGCATCATTGCTGGCCATTGGCCGTAGCTGATGGAGGGCAGAGATTCTTCATCCCTGATCCATACTACAGTGGTACCTCGGGTTACAGACGCTTCAGGTTACAGACGCTTCAGGTTACAGACTTCGCTAACCCAGAAATAGTACCTCGGGTTAAGAACTTTGCTTCAGGATGAGAATTAAGTTCTTAACCCGAGGTACCACTGTATACACTAAACCCATTCTCTGAACATTGACCCTTACATAGCCAAAATGGTACCATCACCGTACAAGAGCAGGCGACAGAAGGCTTGGGGGAACTCTGCAGGGATAAATGCGATAACATTTGGAATGAATTTATACAAAATGTAGTAGGCTGTTAACTTTTACATAAGCACTAGGACAATGACACTATGGCAATTTATACAAGAATGTATGGGAATATTGTAGTTTTTCTCCCTCTTGCTTTTCCTTCCTTGTTTTCTGTATTTCTTTTAACTGAAATCACCTTAATAAAATATTTAAAATTATTTTTTAAAAGGTTTGCAGAGGACAAAAAAAAAAGTTATTAAAAAAGCAGGCAGCATTAGGAGGGAGGAATGAGTGCTCAGGGCCTGTAGAATGCAAACTGAATACTGGGGTGGGGAAATGAAACGGAGCAGCCAGTCAAAGCTTGCTGGCCAGCACTCTGACTTTGAACACTCTACATGGCAACTCTTGGTTGCAGGTCCTACTTGCCTTTCATAATGTTTGTTTGTTTATTTATTTAGTATATTCAACTATGATTGCCTTGGCAGAAGGGCTGTACATTACAGAAAGTGAATGACAAAATAAAATAAAAGCTGCCTTGCATAAAAACCAGGATTATAGGAAGCAAAATTCAGCCTAAAGACAAGCAAGCTAGCAAAACTAACATCTGTTTAAAACCAGTAACGGAATACGCAATAAAACCAAGATGCTGAAAAAAGCCACTTAAACCAAACTTTCACTCTCTGCCTAGAAGCAGGAAGCAAAGAGGCCAGGTGTACTTCTCTCAAGATCCTGGGTACCACAACTGCTAAGGGCCTCTCATTTATCTCAGGCAGTGGTGGACCTGAACTCCAAAGTGGAACAAAGGTCCTGGGCAGGCTGGTCTCAAACTGTTTTAAGGCTTTAAAAGGGTAATTTGGACCTGAACGAACACGTAACCAGTGAAACATCAAATAAGTGGTCAGCAGGACTGAAGCAGAGTTCAGTTTACTTCTTACTTATTAAAAGAATGTGTGGAGGTGGTTGGAGAGGAGGAAAGTCAAACCAATGCTGCTGGTTGCAACATGAGTTAGTTTCCTTTTTTGACCACGAAATACCCACAGAAAATGTTCCAGACAATAACGGGAACTCTCGTAACCACAAGGCAGTGGAAGAAGCTGTAGTTAAGCTATGTGTGAAGCAAAGTTCATACCCAGGATGAGAAACTGTGGGAATGTTCTGGGGTGCAGGAGAGGATATATTGACTAATTATATCCTTATCCAACTTGTGCTAACAAGTTCCCAAAAATATCAGCAGAGTTTATAAACATTCCCCTTTAAGTGCGCAACGGTAACGCTTGCACAGGTTCGCTAGAACCTCTATAATAATTACCCTGGTAATTTCCCCTTTTGTTCCCTCTTAAAATACAAGACACGACACAGTCTTTATAAAAGTATAAAAGAGTTTACTCACGTTCTGTTCACAATGTGATCCCAGAAGGCACAGCTTAAAAAGGTTACATACATTTAGAATCTATCTTATAGCAAGATAGATCTTATCTCCTCTCTTGGCTGGGAGCCAAGAGAGCATCCTTAGATGTTTCCTCATCGAAGGAAAATGGCAGAGAGAGAGAGTGTCTGCCTGCCCTGTGCTTTTGTCATTACCTGCACAGGTGAGGCCACACCCACCTCTGGTCACATGCGGAGGAAGTCCGTCCCCAGGAAGTTTACCTGCTTGCTGGACAGACATCCCCCCCATGTTCTAAACATGTACACTCTAGGAATGTTGTCATTGACTGCTCCTGTGTTTACATCCCACAGAAACAGCATCAAAGTAAGGTAATAGGTAAGATAAAGGACCCCATAATGGTTAAGTCCAGTTAAAGGTGACTATGGGGTGCGAAGCTCATTTCACTTCAGGCTGAGGGAGCCAGCGTTTGTCCACAGACAGCTTTCTGGGTCATGTGGCCAGCAGGACTAAACCGCTTCTGGCACAACTGGAACTCCATGACAGAAACCAGAGCGCAGAGAAACGCCATTTACCTTCCCGCTGCAGTGGTACCTATTTATCTACTTGCGTTGGCATGCTTTCGAACTGCTAGGTTGGCAGGAGCAGGGACAGAGCAACAGGAGCTCACTCCGTTGTGGGGATTTGAACCACCGACCCAAGAGGCTCAGTGGTTTAGACCACAGTGGCACCTGCGTCCTAGCATCAAAGTAGAGCTTGCTAACTGTAAGATAAAAAGAAGGCTTACGGGAATGGAAACCACAAAGAAATAAAGTACGAGGTTGCTTAGCAAACATTATGACTGGGATATAATTCTGCATAAAAGGCGGGACAAGCTGGGAGGGAACGAGGTTTAGAGCAGCTTATGTGAAATTATAAAGGCTGATGTTTAAGGGGACACGGGTGGTGCTGTGGGTTAAACCACAGAGCCTAGGACTTGCCGATCAGAAGGTCGGCGGTTCGAATCCCCGCGACAGGGTGAGCTCCCATTGCTTGGTCCCAGCTCCTGCCAACCTAGCAGTTTGAAAGCACATCAAAGTGCAAGTAGATAACTAGGTACCGCTCTGGCGGGAAGGTAAACGGCATTTCCACGCGCTGCTCTGGTTCGCCAGAAGCGGCTTAGTTATGCTGGCCATATGACCTGGAAGCTGTACGCTGGCTCCCTCGGCCAATAAAGTGAGATGAGTGCTGCAACCCCAGAGTCGGCCACGACTGGACCTAATAGTCAGGGGTCCCTTTACCTTTAAAGGCTGATGTTGGCGTTGGATTAGGGTCTCTCTCTTCTACATCAAGAGGTAGAGAAGACACCATTCTTGTACAAGAGTAAGAATCATTTGCTGACACACTAATAGTGGTCTTACCTGATCTTTTATTTGAGGGTAAACCTTCAAAACCGTGTCCATTATGTTGTCCACAAAACTGTTTTTGAAGGCCTCATAGACCGCTCCTCTCTTAGAAACCTTTTCTTCCTTCCATTCCTCAAACCATTCATACTTTGCAGCTGTCAGGACAATTAGAGTGGACTTGCCTATAATGAAAGGGATATGAAGACATTCATTAGCGATGTAGTTGTCACAAAGGGGCATCTCACAATCCTATATGCACAGATTTGTAAGGTGTCAAGTGAGGATATGACTCATGCTGGGGCTTCCTGTGGCATCATGCCTCTTCTACCACAGGCACAGCCAGGCTGCGTACAGCAAGGCTGCCCTCTAGGTTGCAGAACTGGCCTGAATGCTCTCAGCAGCTGTTACAGCTCTTTGAAGAGGAAACAGTTCTTGGAATCCATCTGTCTTGAGAAACAACAGAGTTTTCATCCAGGGTGAAGTCACAAAACTGCCTTAGCAGCGCCAAAGTGATTTTCCCAGGGTGCATATGGAGTTCCTAGGCTGCCTAGAGGATAAGACCCCCTTTCTCAGCCTCACTGATGTGGTCCAAAGGAAAGCAGAGCTTCAAACAAAGACATCTTGGAGGTCCCAGGCCACATGGAGGTTAGGCTGGCCTGAACCAGAGCCAGGGCTTTTTTGGCTGTGGCCCCAATCTGGTGGAACACTCTGTCACAAGCGACTTGGGCCCTGTGGGACTTGACATCTTTCCGCAGGGCCTGCAAGACAGAGCTGTTCCACCAGGCCTTTGGCCAGGGCACAGCCTGACCCCCTCCTTTGGTAATCCTCACAGAACTCTAGCCCAATGGTTACCATTAATTTGATTTTGAATTGATTTTAAAATGAATTGGTTTTAGAATGCTGTGTTACTTTTATTGTTGTTGGCCGCTCTGAGCCTGGCTTCAGCTGGGGAGGGCGGGATATAAATAAAATTTTATTATTATTTATTTATTAATATGTTTGGCACCAGCTTAAGGAGGCATCCAACCGCCTTAGGAACTCGACTCTGAATTTGTATAGGGTTTAGCCTTTTCTTCTTCCACAAGGCAATGGAAGTTTAGGATCAGAGTCTTCCTTCTCCTAGATGGGTTACCTTCTCAGGCTGAGGCCCATCTGCCCCTCACTTCCTCTACGGCACGTGCAGAAACTTACCTCTTGACAGTTAGAAGCAGGCCCTACAAAAACCTTTCTTCTAGGATGGTAGTTTGTTTTTTGCTATTTTAAATTTTTTTAATTATAAATTTTATTAGTATTTTCCACACAACAACAACATAAAAAATATCAAAAAATAACAGTACACAAAAACCAACATTTAAAAAAACAAAAACACAAATCCATATCTTACAAGTTAATAATATAAACACTAAAAAGAAAAACAAACATTGACTTCCACCAATCCCACAGCACCTTCTTTACCTCTCATGGTGCCTTCCTGTTTTCCTGTTTAT